GGCGGCTGCGTCCAACGATATTGTTCCTCTGCTCGCCAATTTGCCCGCTTCAGAGACATCATCTGCGGCTGCTCCTATCAACTTGGCCGACAAGGTTTGGTCCTTGGCTTCGGTCTCACTCCTCCTCTCGGTCAGCCCAACCCAGTCCGCAGCTGAGGTCAAACATCATCGCAAGCTCCTACTCTCCCACAACCTCATCGGGAGACTCATCCTCGCCCTTCAGTCGCATACAGAGGTCGATGTCAGGCGCGAGGCAAGTGGTGCACTTCGCAACCTCTGCGTAGACTCGGGTGTCGATGTTCGCAATGAAGTCGTTAACAAGGGTGGTGTACCCGCCATCCTTGCTGCGATGAGGTGGGCGAGTAATGCCCTCGGCTTCGACGCTTCTGCTTCTTCCTCTTCCAACGCCAATCCAGCTATCTCGTTTGTTGACGATGCCCCCACCCAAGAACAGGATCTCGAAGCAAAGCGTGCCCTGCTCGCAAAGCCGCTCGACAAGATGAACAAGAAGGAGAAGAGACACGCTACCAAGCTCGCCACTGCCCTCGGCAAAACGCTGGAGCAGGTCGCTGGCCAGGGTCTCTCTGCAGAGGACGAACAGAAGCTCGTCTCTTCTTCCTCTTCCACCAACGACGCTATGGATACGACAAACGGTGCTGCTTCTGGCAGAGGCGAACCTTTCCTCGCACTCGACTCGAACACCAGGAAGGGTTTGATCGAGATGGCAGAAAACCTTGTCACGGTGGTTTGGTGTCTCTGCGAGTCGGGTGATAAGGCTTTCGCCAAGCTCGTTGCATGGAAGTGGCTCGACCAGGACATCGTTGGTGCCGGTGCTTCGCAAGAACTCAGTGGAGAAGGCCTCGCATCTTGGCTCTCTTCCGCCATTGCTCTCGGCTCTCGTGCCGCTTCCGTTCTCTCCACTGCTGGCGCGGACGGCTCTCGCGCATCGTCGTCGCTTTCCCAGGGTTCGGCTGAAACTCTTGGCGCTCTCTCCAACGAAGAGCTTTCTCTCTTGCTCGACCTCGCCCTGGCATCCGGCAACGCTCTGTGTGCGCTCACCGACGGAGGCGAAGCCGACTTTGTCGATGGCCTCCTCTCTCGCAAGTCCGCCTCTCCACCTTCCAAATCGAGCAAGAAGAAGAGCAGCTCCTCCAAGCCCGATTCTTCATCCGCATCCACCCCAGTCCCCCAGACACTCGACGAACAGCCTCCAGCAGCCACCCGCCGTCTAACCGCCATCCAATCCGCACTCACCTTGCTTCAAGCCTGCGTCAACACCGACCAGAACAGTATCGACAAGCTCAAGCGCTACATTCTCGCCCAGACTACCATGCTTGGAGTCCTATCCGCCGGCATCTTTCGCAACATTGCTGCTGCCGTCGACACCAAAGCTGCCACTTCTGGCCGCGGTAAATCGTCTCGCAAGCACGGCGGTGCCAATGCTAGCAGCGTGACTTCGGCGAGCATCTTTGTTGGAGAAGGAGTGACGCTGAAAAAGCTCGAAGAGAGCGTCATCTTGCCGACGCTCACGCGGTTGTTGGCGGGCGTGGACATGTCAAAGCTCGCGCATGATCTTGATGGACGTGGCGATGTCAACGAAGCTGTTCCGCTGGATAGCAACAACAAGGACGGGTTGGATGAAGCAGCGCTGAGGATGAAATTGCAAGGCAAAGCAGAGGAAAAGGCGCAGACGCTGATGCTGGCGTTGGAGGTGGTTGCGGAGATGGCGGCTAGTCTCGATTCCCGTGCTGGAGGCGGTGGTGCGGATGATGAAGAGGACGAAGAGTGGTTGGAGGATCTCGAAGCTGATGAAGAGGGGGATGATGAGGATATGGATATGGGTGGTGATGATGAAGATGACGAAGACAAGGAAGAGGACATGGACGCCATGCTCACCAACAAGGAGGATGACGATATGGGTGTTCGTGGCAGCAACAACAACGCCAACGATACGTTTGCAGATGCTGTCAAGCGTAGTGGTACGCTTCCATTCGAAGCTTATGCTCCTATTCTGACTTCACTCTTCAGCGCTTCTTCCGATGTCTCCCTCACCGCAGCGCTGCTCGCGATTGCGAGACCTTTCGAAGCTTCTTTCCCTTCGCTGAGCCCCAGCGGACCCAGCGACAAACCCACATCTGGACTATTGAGAGGACTGCACCTGCGCTCGCTCTCCGTGCTCAACAATCTTCTCCTCCGCCTTGCCGCATTTTCTCCTCCACCTCCTTCGCAACCCGCCACGGATCCAAAAATCCTCCGTCGCATTGCCGCCTTCCGCACCTGGACCCAAACCCACCCTCAATCCACCACCTTGACCGAGGTGTGGAGCACCCTTTTCGACATTGCTAAAGGATGCGCCAGTGTTCCTGCCGTTGCGACGGCTGGTGCCGGCATCGTTTCGCCCGCCAACGACTCGGATGGAGTGATGGGATCCGCTGGCTCCCTCGCGACTGCAAGCAGTGGCAATGGGGAAGGACTGGATGGATTGGGGATGGTAGAGACCTGTATCGGTACGATGTGGTCGCTTGCTCGCGTCTTGGAAGGGTCTGTAGCTCTTTCCTCGGCCTCGAGTTCAGTAACCGTTTCTGACCCCAACGCTTCGACATCGGAGATCATCACCGCCCTCGTATCCGGCTACACTTCGGCCTCTACCGATTCCATGCGGGTAAAATGTATCCTCTTGCTCTCCACCATTGCCCGCTCACCCCAAATTCACCCTAGCCTCAACGCTTTCCTGGGTAACTTCCTCGTCTCCATCCTCGAAAGCATCCCCGAGCATCCTTCTTCCTCCACTTTAGGAACAACGGCAGAATCAATGGTAGCAGCCATCAACGGAATCATCGACACCTACGCCGATGAAACTTCCCCTTACGATGCCACCGCCTTCCGCTCCGCCAACCTTTTGGGCAGACTCAGGTTGACCGTCTTCAGATGCAAAGCCCTGGCTAGGCAGATCGATAGGAGGAAACAGATCTCTCTTAGGGCTAGTGCAGAAGAGGCGCTTGAAAACTTGACTGGTTTCATCCAGTACAGGCAATCTTTGAGATTCTGAGAACGCATGGTACTTCTTCTGCTCGATGTGGGTTTTGTTCATCAATCTTATGCTTTTTTAAAATGATTCATTGTGATCCAGTCGTCAAAAGCTTTCTGAATGATGTGTGGTCTTCTGAGATGTGTGTAGGAGGCCTTTCTGCCACGAAATCTGAAAAACTTACTAGAATCAGAGGTAGTGGTTCTATCTGCAATAGGTCGTCGCATCGTCATACAAGCATTGATAGTGTAGGGGTATCATGAGTCGTTGCCACTCATCGCCTGCATAAGGCGTGACTACCGATTCGACTCGACCGGGGTTCGAGTCCCCGTCAATGCATTTCTTTTTTTGCCATTTTCTTCGGGTTACGAAAAGTAATACTCGAGGTTGTTGTTTTTTTTTTTTTTTTTTTTTTTTTTTTTTTTTTTTTTTTTTTTTTTTTTTTTTTTCGTATTGCTTGATTGCTTTGATGCTAGGTTTGGCTTGTGGCGGCTTCTTGAAGCGTGCCGACTTGCTGCAATGTGCTGTGCTATGCTGTGAGATGAAAGGGCATGACGAGGCGGAAGAAAATGACTGACCTTTGCATAAAGTAGTGGACATCGATTGGCAGATTAACAGTGGACCCAGACCGTAAAGACTTTCTTCTTTTGTCTTTGAAGAGTGGATACACAGAACTACAGATCGCAACCACACACGGAAGGTGAGGGGAAGAGAAGGGTATGTTTGGGATTCATCAACAGAGTTCGAAACTGTGCAACGTCGTATCTGTCCCCGTCAAGTGGTATTAGTGCATCTCGAAGGAAAATCCCTAACCCAAGGCAAGTTGATCAAAAGCGTCCCAGAACAAGAACAAAAGTCACATCGTCAGCAAACGTACAAGCACTCCCAGGAAGATGAAAGGAAAAGGAGAGCTCAAACTTACATCGGCAATCTCGTAATCAGCCAGTGTAATGTGGTCTTTGTAGACGGTATACCATTTCTTGAGGATGATCTGGCATGTGCAAGTGTGTCCGTTTAAAAGGACATTGAAGGGTGAAGGTTGGGTCAAGAGGGAGATGAGTTTGGTTAGCATGTTTTCAATTTGTCTACACGGCTGGCCTTGACTTGATTTGGGTCGCTTTTGGGTGCCGATGCTGGTGCTGCGTCGCTTCGGTCTGGTTTGGTGTGCTGGTGCGATTTGGTTTGATTGGTCGTTTCGGATGGGCACAGCAAGAGGTCGGCTTCTCTAGTTCTTTGCTACTGGCAAAATTGTATGCTTCCGCCGGGGTGGATTGAACGAGCATGCTGCATGCTGGTGCTAGATCCGCTGAGTCGATTCGTTGCGTTTGGGCTGATGGAATGTCGTGATAGCGCTGTACAGCGAGGCTGAAATCCAGCGATAAAAGCTGGAGTCAAGCCAAAGTCATATTAAGACGTACCTTCTGAGGCGGTGTTCCAGTCTGAGCAGCAATGAGCTTTTTCAGATCTCCGATGGTGTCGTCTGGGGAGCATTTGACTCTGACTAGAGTACCGGCAAGTGTGTTCACAATGTAGGGCCGATGAAAAAGGACAGAATAGCAGGGTCAGTAATGTCAACATAGCCATGAGGTAGCAAAGAAGGATGGAGAGCGTATCTTGGATGCTGAGGTTTAGGAATAAGGGGAAAGTGTCAAGGGAGAAGGGTGAAGGAGGAAGGCGAGGAAAGCGTGCGCACCTTTACGCCCCAACCTGTCATTTGCGAGGACCTCGATCATTGGCATTGTGACAGCGTTTTCGACCTGGGACTGGAATTCTTTGCTCCGTTTGTACTAAGGTTTTGGATGCGTGGTGGTTCCGGCTCTCTTGTCGGTCGTCCTTACTGATCAGATGAGCGTTGTCGAAGTGGGGATGATGGACGTCGAGAAAAAGAAAAACAGTGTTGGACAGGTGTTGGACTTGAAACATCCTCCACTTGCCCGTCTTCCGAAAGCTCGCTTTAAAAAAAGTTAAAAGAAGTGGAAGGTGGGAATCGAACCCACGACCTCAAGATTTTTGTGGCGCCATTCTTTCAAAGGAAAGATATGTTGCAATCTCACGCCAAACCACTAAGCCTCTCCCACCAATTACGTTCTTCGGGGTCTGGATAACGTTAATATAGCAATAATGCTGACCATGGATACTGAGCAGCAATGACGCGCGTCAGATGCACGTGTAGATTGTGGAGTGATAAGAGGTTTGTGAAGTGTCACTTTTTTGTTCGTCATAGCTGATCTTGGCTTTGTCTGCTATCACCACGACTACCACTACCATCATCACCCTCTGTCGCTCTGTCTACTGTTGCCAAGATGGTGAGTTCATCCCCACGCAAAAAGAAAACTTTTCCACGCCGCTGAACTAACTCCAGCCTCTGACTTCGGCTGGACAGACGGACTCCCAACCCGCAGCACAACACATATCGATCGACTCTAGCACAACCACAAAACCACGCCCCCTATCCAGCTCTCCCTTATCACCAGACCGTAAATCACCCATGCCTCCCTGCTCATCTTCCACATCCGCCCCACCAGCAGAGATCGAAGCCACCTTGACCAGACTCTCGAGCCACCAGGGCGTGCTAGGCTGTTTGGTGCTGAGCAGGCATGATGGTCTGGTTATCAGAAGTGGCGGACAGATGTTTGATCCGAGCGGTCCGGGCGCAAAGGGTAGAGCGGAGCTGCTGAAGAGTGTTACGAGACTAGTTAAGGGGGCTGTGGAGGGATTGGCTGCGGATATCAGGGGGATTGACGAAAGTGTAAGTGTCACAACAACGCCGTCTTCAAGCGAGAGTAGTAAGGGTAAGCGCCGCGAAAGAGGAATGATGAGTGATTACTGACCAAGTGTTTGATGCTGTGTGTTGCACTGGGAGACAGGACGAGCTCGGATTCCTCAGGATCAGGACGAAGAAGTATGAAATCATGATCACCCCGAACGACAAGTATCTCCTTGTGGTGCTGCAGGTAGGTTTGACCCCCATTCACCACAACCATCCTCTGTAAAATAGTTTAGCTCACCCTTTCACCTTCCTCTGCTCACCTTCTTCAACTACACTCGACATCTTTCGCGGGAAATAGGACCCGAACGCAACCGCGCAGTAAAACAACCTGCACTCTGACTTCTTGCTCACAGTGTACCCATATACCCCGCGCCTGCGATCTTTGTTTTTGCAATGCTACACTGTCTCACGCTCTCACACGCTCTGGCTGAACTTCAATCGTGTGACTTTGTATTGCGTTCCAGCTCTCTCAGCTTCGCTATGAGCTGTTCTGCTGTCAGCCTGTGTCGGAAGATCTCTGTCCCGCTCGAATCGTCACCACAAATTCTCGTCAGTTACTGCTCCCCACGACACTTTCAGAAACAGGCCTTTCTTGGGAAGGGGCAGAAAATAGAACTCACCAGTGTGATCAAGATGAAGCACAGGAATATCGTACTGATACTTTCTCCTCCAGGTGTGAACATCTGGTAGAGCGTCGTCCCTGATGTTGTACGTCTTGAGCTCGATGGGCACAGTCTTGGCGGCGATGGAAATTTCGTGCTGCATCACCTGACACAGTTGACAGTCTGTCCCTGTGTACATGGTCAGCTTGAAAGGTGCATTGCTGATGTTGAGCCTTGCCAGGGTTCTGAGCATCTTGAAATCTCGAGAGTATCTATGTCTTGTGATTGAAGAGAAGCAAGAGGGTGATGGTTGCGAAGAGGCAAGGTGAAGAGGATGAATTACTCGGAACTCGGGATGCGAACTGACCAACAACGCGAGGATACGGCCAAAACATTCGGACATCGGTTGTTGGACCCTTGTTTTTGTCCCTCTTCCATCCATCTTCTAGACAACGACAGAAGCAGCGACCATGTCGGATCAAGACTCTTCCGCCTCGATGCGTGAGGTGGTGGATGATCAGCGCAAACGTAAGCGATCCATCGCAACCGACGACAATGACGGTTCGGCGAGGCCAAATCCGAACGAATTGCCTTCATCCCAAAACGCGGCGGGAGTGTTCGTCGATATCCCAGCACCGTCTTCCTCGGCCATGGCTGCCTACCACGCCACCCATTTGCCATCAAGCCAAATGGACTCTCAAGTTTCTTTACCAGGATCCATCTTCGACGAGTTGAACAACGATAATACGCAAGCGCCGAGTGGGTCGGAATACATCCCTTCCACCCAGGCCGACAACTCTTCGTCTTCGGTCATGCCGTCAGCAGCGGTGGTGGACACCAGCGCATTCAGACCGCTGCCGAGTATCTCAACAAGGGTGTTTGAACCCTATCTGGACGATACGACGGGTATGGCGCTGGATGTGGCCGAGAATCGGATTGCTGATCTGGAGCGGGAAAGGAGAGAACGGAGAGACAGAGTGGAGAATGAGGTGGATAATTCTTCCCCCGTCGAATCGTTCTCCCCAGCGGAACAGTTGCAACAATTGAGGCCCGAAGATGTACCTCGCATTGGCGCTTGGATTCTCCCCGAGTTGACGGCGGAGAACAGCAACCCAAATCCTCCCGACTATACCAGTCAAGAGGTGCTCAGTCAGATCCCCTTCCCTATTCCTCGCGATGAAGATGAGGAAGACTCGGAGAGCGATATTGTACGCCAAATTGCTGCTTCACAGCCATCACCTCCACGAAGGAGAATCCAACGGGACAGGCGGCAACAGGAACAAAGCGCATCACCCGTTGCACAGCCTCCCATTCAATCCACACCCGCATTCGCAGCCGCCCGTCAACAGCCAGATGAACCGCAACTACCACCGACCCAACCAATCCCATCCCAACCCCTTCCCCCATTCTCATCCACACCCGCTCTTCCGCGCGAGGACAACGCAGAACCACCAGCCGCGTCATCATCGTCGGTCTCGCACAGCGCTTCTTCTGCAAGCTCTGTGGCATGGTCAACCTTGCCCCGGCCTGAGATCGTGGAACTGGTCCACCGATCGCCCCACATTCCATCTTTCCTCAAGGATGAGATCGAACGCTTTATTCAGCGCGCCAGCCGCACTTCCTCCTCTTCCTCCTCCACTTCGGCTGGTAAAAGAGGCTCGCCACGTCGCCGGTCGAATTCGCAGAGCCAATCGCAACAGTCAAGTGGCGGGAACGACGACAGCGAGACGCAAGAAGACGGTTTCCTCCGCACCAAAAAGCTCTGGTGTATGGACTTGCTCCTTTTCCCTTCCCCCTCTTCCTCTTCTCAAGCTTCGTTGCCGCGAATCACCTCGCAAGTGGTCCAACAGCGATTGACCCAATCGCAACTCTCGCAAGCTTCCACCACGCGTGGGCCCGTCGCAATCATCCTGTTACTCGACACGGTAGAGGTGACATTTGACATTCACGAGCTGGAAGAATCTCTCGCTAGCGTTCTTCGCTCTGATCGCAGATATTCTGTTCAGTACGATGCCGATGGACGGAAGTGGAACACTGGTTCGCAGCGCACTCCCACTCCGGCAACCGCACCCGCACCCGCACCCGCTGCTGACGACTTGGATGCGGCAAAAGCAGAAATCACCCGACTGCAAAAGCGTCTAGAAGCCTCTTCAGCCCAGATCGACGCTCTTACCACTACAAACCTTTCCCTGCAAAAAGACCTCTCCGAGTCGCAAGCCCAACACGATTTCGTACGATCCTTGTACGATCGAGCTTCTGCCTCAGCCACTTCTGCCCAAGCATCGGCCTCTGAAGCGCTTGCCAAAGTGGCGCTGCAGGAAGAACAACTTTCGTCGGGGTTGGCGTTGCATCAGGCGGCGCTTGACAGTGCGATTACACGGTGGAAGGGGAGAGTGCGGCAATTGGAGGCGGAACGAGAGTTTGCGACGGCACAAAGGGAGATGACGGAGCAAGGGGAGGAGGTGAGGAGGAAAGCTGCGCTGTGGGATGCGTATCAGGCGGAAGAGCGGGATAGAGAGAGGACTAGGGAAGAAAGGATTCGGATTAATGAAGAGAAGAGGAGGAAGTTGGCTGCTCAACTGGGTGGCCCAGACGATGTTGCGCCTTCCTCTTCCGCCGCTGTGAATGTTGAGGTGGCTGATGGATTGGGACCTTTCGCAAGGCCCCTTCGAGAGCCTTCGCCGGTGGACGAATTGGATGAGCTCGCAGCGCTGGCTCGCGAGGCAGCAGAAGCTGGAGATTCCTCCCTCGCCCCTCTCTCTCCTCCTGGCGGCGGTCGAACGCGACGTTCCCGTCGAACAGCAGCTCCCTCGGACAACCAAAATGGTGGCAATCTCTCCTCGAGAAACGCATCGAATCAACCCCCACCGCCAAACGCAACCGAAATAGCAGCCCAGAAGGAAGCTGCAGAGCTATCTTCCACCCACGCCCTGCACGACTCTAGGTTGGAGCTCGAGGATCAGTTTGAGATCTTCTCCAACACGCCGCAAGCTGCTCAACCCGAATCTGATTCCGGTCCAGCTTTTGAATTAGGTGACTTTGGTAGTGCTCCCAGTGTGGGATTGAGCGAGGATATTTTCAATGCTGGTGGGACTGGATTCGATCAAGAGCAAGGGCAGGGTCAGGGGCAGGCGATGACAGATGGAAATCAAAATCGAGATCAACCACAGGAGGTCCAAGAGGGTTGGGGCAGTTTACCAACGGAAAGCAACGATCTGTTACCCAGCTTTAATAGCGACTCGTTGATTCTGCAACATCCTTCTTCGACAGTGGACGGGGAACAGGAGAGTGTAGAGTCCACTTTTAGACCTCATACCCAGGCTTAGAAAAAAAATTAGTTCCGCCTTGTATTGTTTTCACTCTGTACAGCAGACGCGATGAGGGACAATTTGACGAGAAGTGGATATGTCTGTGTTTTGCAGACTTTTGAGGTCCAAGAGATGCCGGTTGAGAGGGAGACAGGTTCGAATATCGTTCACAATACATACATTGCAACAAATTTTGTTCACCATTGCATCGTGTGAATCGATAGCGGTCTAGAAATCCTCACTTCTTCTTCCGAGTCTTTTCTCGTTCAGCTTTGAATTCTTCCACCCAGACTTTTTCCGCTTCGCCTTTTGGCACCACCACCAAACTTAAAATACCATCTCTCATAACCAGTCCATCTCTATCCTTGACGCCATCTTCGCCTTTCGATAAATCCGCC